TGCTTGCTGCCATTTTTGGCGACCGAGAGATCAAGGGTTTTAGAGAAAAAGGTGAATGAAACACAGGTATCAAAAACTGTGTTCAGCCACCTTAACTTAAGGCAATTTTCGCAAAAATTTACTGCTAAAAAGCTTTTTTGTTACAATTTTTTTCCCCGCGTACTAGTAGTGACGCGGTGAGTCGCACCCATTTTGTAATGCGTCGGGATGGCGTGACTTGGCGTGACAAAACGACCCTTCTCTACCCCAGAAAGCAGACTAAGTAGACATGAAAACGAGTCCGCCACAATACAGCACCAGCCAAGATGGCGGTCGCTGAAGATATTCTAAAGGACCCTTACTTTGCCGACCTAGATATCGACCTCAGCCAGTTCTCAGAAGAAGAAAAGACCGTTATTCTTGGTGTTATGCAAAAAGCCAAGGTAAGCATTGAAAAAGCTGGAAATCTTTGTTTGTATTTCAGGTTTTCCCGTGGTAATCATCACGTGTTTAGGTATTCCGTGTTTAAATTTCGTCGATCCTTTGGCTTGTCCGATAAAAATTGATGTTTAGGATTTTGTTCCTCTAGTAAGAGAACTTGTTTGCGTTTTCGTATCCCCTGTGTTTTTTTTTTTTTTTCTCATCTTAATTGTAGGTTCTTGACCAACAGGATGAAGATAAATTTAGGTAAGGCATTTCTTAACCAGTATATGTGTAGTTAGATTGTGCCTTATAACTTAGAGATGATTTATAAAACAAGTTCTGATATAATTTCAGTTCAAAAAATAGACCTAGTGAAAGCGCATATCCTGATTGGCTGATAAGCCGTTTTACTGCAACTCTACTGGAGAAAATAATATTTCCATCCTGTTCACGACATTTCTGTATTCTTCTCGTGGTCAGTGTGATAAAATACGGACTAAGTTTTTTTTTCGCAAAATTAATATGGTGCTGAAATAGGGAGTTTGCATACTAAGCTCTCTAAATTTGTTTGAAACTTGTGACGGATAACTGGAGTACAGAATATCTCACAGAGCTCAGACTCAGAGAAGTTGATTGTTTATCATCTTTCCATAACATTTTTTAATTCTTGACATCTTTTATTCAGTGATTTCGATTTAATTGCTTTTCCTGTAACCTGACAATGAAAACAAGCAACACTGGCTGGGGATGAATGATCCTTCTGAGATGAATAAGCCATCTGAGACAAATAATTCGTCTGTCAGATAAATCTTTCTAGGCATAAATTCAGTTTAGATTAATTATGTGGCAAAACTCATCTTTGGCTGATTTGTATGTCAGTATGTCTTCAAGAAGATGATTCAAATGAATCAGTTGTCTTGAAGACAAATTTTGCCACATAATTCATCTTAACACCAGGCCTGGTTGTTTGAAGGCTGAATAATGTTATCCACCCAACAAATTTGCTATTCAGCAGATAGATCATTATCCAGTTGATTTGTGTTAATAGAACAAACCAGGCCATGTACTGGATATTGATTTAACCAGTGGATTGAGGATTGCATTTTCTCCTTTTGAACAACGTGGGCCAGATTTTTACACACAATATAATTGTCTCAGATGGATAAATTGTCTCAGATGGATGAATGATTATTGTCTCCTAATATAAATTCAGCATTGAAAAATTTGTCCCTAGTATAAATTTGGCCATTAATGTGTAGTTCCAGAAAATATCCATGCCTCCCCCATGGAAGAGATTTTTTCCAAGATCCCCCAACCCCTCTGGAAATTCCAATTAAACTTGATACATTTCTTTAAATCTTTTGGTCTTAGAGAACCCCCACCCCCAAATTCCAATCCCTTCTGTGAGGGGAGTATGGATATTTTCTGGTACTGCACATTCTCAGAAACCCCTGTAATGAACCATGTCCCAATCTTGTGTTTTTTTCTCTCTCACAGTCTAAAACTGTTGAAGTCACACTCTCAGATTTTCAAACAAAAGTCTTGGCAACTTGGCAAGCCTCAGAGTTAAGCATTTCCCAACCCTGGTCCTAGAAAATGACAAAAATCCAGGACTTTCTAGGATGTCATTGCCATGTACAAGACCTACAGATCTTCCCAAGGGGGTTTATAAATAATTGTTTGAAATCAGTAATGAGAATTTCCATATTAAACTCACCAGTGATATATCCATATGTCAAATTCTTGTACAACTCCCAGCCAATTGCTTCATTAGGATCTGCCTTCTTTTTGTCCACGTACCGTTCCTCAAGTGTCATGTGTGCATTTTCTAGCTTTTTCAGTTGATCCCACTGTCTGTCCACATCTTCATAGACATACCGTTTGGCTGTAAATTTAATCCAGTCTTCCAGTTCTTTCTGTGTGACCTTGCCATTATTGTCCTTGTCGATCCTATCCACAATTTTTCTGTAGGGAAAAGATAAAATATGAAGAATTGGTACTGGATTAGTCTAAGAGATCTTACTTTGTTCAAAGTGGACTGGAAGTGATAATTTAATTACTTGAATGCTAAAATAAAAAAACTAATAAGGAACAAGAGTCAAAACTAAGTTTGAAATGTTGCAGTTGAGTTGAGTAGCTGCATAATGGCAAACGAAATAAAACTCTGATAAGAGTTTTGAATAATTGCCACAATGAGTGATTCCAGAAAATATCCATACCAATACCACAGGCAGCTTTTTTGGAATTCTGAGGGCAAGGGGGTTTCCTTGAACTGGAAATCTAATGCATATGGGGTACTTACATGTACAATTAGAATTCCAAGGGCATGGGGGGGTTTTCTAAAGAGGACAGACAAGAGTGTGAAAGCACAAACAAACTGATGACACTGTTGACTTAACTGTGGAAAGCAAGATACAAGACAAGCATCAATTGATCACGCATGTGTTCACCTTCATTTAATGTGGCTAAATGTAAAGGCTAAGTTAAACGTGAAACAAGATTGCTGGCCAACAGTGCTATATTTTGTATTGTTGTTTAGTTCCTCCCATTAACTTGCATAGCACGACACATTGTGCACGCTGTCATTTAGTTTGCTCCATTGTTTCACTTCGTATGCACGCTGTTGTTTAGTTAGCCTCATTGTCTCATGGTTCACGCATAATTAGCTTGGTACCTTTGTTACCACTTTTGCCTGCTTCGTTTGTATCATATTTGCTTCCAGTCTTCAGTTAATAAACATGTTCTCTCTTGCTCGGAGTTTCGCCTCAACTTACTGGCGTGGTGGCAGCGCAACGTTTCTAAAGAACCCACAGAAACAAGGACATCAAAGTGTTCTTTGATTTTAGCTGCCTCTCCAAGCAACCAAGCCGGAATTCGTGAACCGTAGTTATGACTTCTCACAGAGTGCTGAAACAGTGGCTGCTTCCTTCGAATGAAACTACTGGTATCACTTTGATGGAAGCCTAGGAAAACAATTTGAAGTACATCCTGTCCCTCGATCCAAACTTTACAGACTTTCTCACTGATGGATCGTTGTGGGGTAAAAAAACAAACACTTCACCTCTACGTGGTTTCTCCAACGATCTGAATCTGCTCAGAGTGAGTTCGGGGTGGCCCAGGGATTTGTGCAGGGGTGCCTGGATTTTACAGCTCGGCTTCAGATGTCAAATCATTCTCCACGCTTGTCATTTGTTGATGAGTTTAACAGAAGAAAAGCGATAAAATCTGGGTTGTACAATATACATTGGCCTCCGGAGGCCTTAAAGTTGATGAGTTTCTTGTCAGAAAATCATTTGCGATGAATGACGACTCGCCACGTTTGTTTACTATGTGCCAGCAATAATACATATTCATAAAGAAATCCCTCATGGTGTCTCNTGAATCTGCTCAGAGTGAGTTCGGGGTGGCCCAGGGATTTGTGCAGGGGTGCCTGGATTTTACAGCTCGGCTTCAGATGTCAAATCATTCTCCACGCTTGTCATTTGTTGATGAGTTTAAGAGAAGAAAAGCGATAAAATCTGGGTTGTAAAATATACATTGGCCTCCGGAGGCCTTAAAGTTGATGAGTTTCTTGTCAGAAAATCATTTGCGATGAATGACGACTCGCCACGTTTGTTTACTATGTGCCAGCAATAATACATATTCATAAAGAAATCCCTCATGGTGTCTCAACAAGTGAATACCGTTTGTAATATTGCAGGTAAATTAGGCAGGATTTGCCCACACATGTTCTAATTTCCATATGATACACACAAAACAATTGAAATTTCTATTCCTTCACTAGTTTAGTTGAAAACTAGTTGCAAAATTGCAACTGAAGAGGAGAAAGTTTTAGTTGCCGAACATACAATCATCAAGAATGCATGCAATCATATACATCACAATTTCAAGTCCTATAGACAGTTAGTTAAACTTCTGGGAAGATGTAAAAGTATAAAATCTCTTTCATTGGAAGTCGTAGGAAGTCAAACTAGGATTCCAGATGGTTGAAGTAACCAATGGAAATCCAAAAGGGAGTGGGGGAGCGGGGCGGGGGAGGTTAACGATTTTGGAATTCAGAGGGAATATGGGGTGTAGAGTATTTTGGAATTTCTGAAGGCAGGGGGTGGGGGGTTAAAATGTTCATGCCACCCGTAGTAGGGTATGGATATTTTCTAGATTTACCCAATAACTCACGAGTGCAGCTTTCATTCAAGTATGGTGCTTATTAAATGTGTATATTATATACAAATGTCAGCTCTTATAACTTACATGTAAGAGTATGTATCAGTCCTACTCATGCCTACAAACCAAAATCTCATGCCTAGCTGATAATTCTTCGATAATCCTCAGGCTACTTCAGATATGAACAAGATATGCCTTCTTCAAAAGTTATATAATTTTCACAACAGATTCCCATACAACTACTGTATTTTGTACCCGATCGTCTTAATTTTAAAAAGTGGTAGAAATTGAGAAAAAACAGCAAGTTTTGATCTAAGAGCAATGTTTCAGTAGCACTTCTGAACACTAAAATTTCCTCATCATCTCAGGATTGGTCAATTTTTGATCCCCACCCAGCCCCACTTCGTCTTTTATTTTGCCACGTGGCATTCTCGGCCGGCCAAATGTCAATGTGAATTTTGTCAAAATTCAGGTTCTTCTACAGAAAACTTGAAAGCTAAATGATTGAAATTATTATTTATTAACGACGATACATGCAGAAAGAATAACAACTGGGAAAATAGAGCAGAACAATGATGCAATTATCGTAAATTACAAGTAAGCTGGTAAACATAAGCTTATTTGATGTACAGTCTCGTAACAGTCACCAAGATATTTTTTCCAAGGAAACCTGCATAAATAATAATTAAGACATAACAACAACTTATTCGATAATATGCTCCAAACAACCCTTTACGGCAGCGTAACGTAAAGCGATTGGAAGTGTCAGCAATACAGCGAATATCTTGCCACGTTGACAACAAACCAGTATCGAAATACAGCTGGTACGGTATGTTTGAAAGGTCTGTTGGCTGCTATATATTTACTAGTTCTGATATTTTTTTTTGCTGGTTGAGACACCAACACTTTTAATGAAGCTGTTTTCTTATAAAGGTAAGCAAATAATAAAATCGGTTGGTAAAGCTTCGAAAATGAACTTCACGACCTTATGCCGATTGAAAATCATTCCGCATGCATACAAATTTTGATACAACTCGCATTAAAATTAAAAATATTTCCAGACGGAATTTCTCACACGCTCCACTTACCCCAGTCTCTCTTTCGATTCTTCTGGCGTCAACTCGTCAAATTTCTTCTTCTCTTTACCAAGAAAAGCTTCATGATCGTATTCGGCGTTGTGGTCTTGTTCTTCTCCTTTGAAATGTTCTTCCTCAGACAGATCCTTGTCGTATACTCGATCTTTCTTCTGGCCCTTCGCTTCTGGAGGTCTCGCATCGATGGACAACATGCATACACAGACGCAGACCGTGAGGAATAATCTTGCCATCGTGCTCCGGCAATTGTGCAAACAATTCTTCTCTAACACAGAAACTCTCGACAAAACAAATCTTCCCGGGACAGCTGTCTAAATAGGGACGGAAGGGGTGACATCCATAGCGACGAGGGGTGGTGATCTAATTGGATAGTAATGGTCACGTGGGTAGTTTCTAACGTTTTAATTGGGTCATTTCTGCCACGTTGGCAAGGGAGGGTAACTTTTCTGTTGGAATGGGGGAAAACCTTGGGAAAATCGCCAAAGAAATTAAATCGCCAAGGAACGTGCCAACGTGGCTGCTGCCGTTACCACGTCACGCAACAAGGAGAGAAGCGTTGTGTGACGAACCAAGTAACCACCTCAGCAGATCGAGATAAATTGAAGAGAGAGCCCGACCAATTAGCTCAATTCAGTATGTCAGAACCTTCATATACAACTGGCTTTTTTGTTTCATTTCTAGATCATTCGGAAAGGCAAAAAAATTCACGTGTATTCGCAAGATTCTCCACAAGTGAAGAAAACAAGAAAAACAGAAGTTAAACGGGAAATAGAGGTTTATAGAACACTGTCCGTCAGGTTTTAGTAATATCTCAAAAAGCGTTCCAAAAAAAATGTTCAGATTACGAGCAGTCGGTCGCGCGGTAAGAAAAGTTAAAATTAAAAAATTAGGGAAAGAAACGAGAAGACTTCTTTCCATGCTTCTCACCGCTCCAAAGTCCAGCTTAATTTCAGTTGACCTTAAATTTACCGTTAGCGAAGCCGGTTTTAGCATTTTTTTTTTTTTTTTTTTT